CAGCAGTTGGAGAGAGAATTGTTCTTCCCAAGTTTGCAAGGATGGGCTATGTTAAGTACATTCCTTCATTATTTTTAACTTTCCATCAGCTAAAAAGCAGACAGATCAAAGCCAGTTTATAGCCATGCCGGACAGTACTCCATGGCAATTGCTGCTCAGAGGCCTGAATTGCTGTGAAAAGGACAACCTTTGATCTCTCCAGCCCTTCCCACATATAACAAGTCCTGCTCTATTTCAAGCAAAGAGCTCCCCATCATGGATTAACTAAAGATTTTTGCTAGAAATACCTCTACGAAGGGCTCGAGGGGCCTGGCAGGAAAGAATAAGCATTATGAAATACAGGAATGGATTAAACTGAGGGTGGGGTTGCTAAAAAACACCTCCAGACTGTAATCAGTGACCTGACTAAAAATGGTTTTGTGCTTCCTCTCTTTCAGTCCTGCTGCTGCTGCTGTTATTATTTTTTGCCTGGGAGAAATATCTTTCTGAGTCCATTTCACCTTGATGGATTATGATGCCATTTTAAATGTCAATTGATAATAATTGTGCCATTAAAAAAAATGTTATCAGTTTAAACCTATGGTGTCCCTTTTATTAATATTTCTAATATATGAGCTTGTTGAGAAATCTATGGAGACAGCAGGACTAATAAATCTGAGGCTAAAAGGACTGCAGAAGGTAGCATGCATAGGCTTTCTGCTAGATCATAGGCAGCTGTTGAACTTTGAGAAGAGCAGAGCAGCTTGGCTGTCACTGGGGAAGTTGTCAGAGTCCAGTAAGGTGTAAAGGATGGAAGACAAACATACAAGGACAGAAGGCTCCAGAGGTAATGTGGGCAATTTGCAGCTGCATCGTCCGTGGCAGCTGCCAGTGCACCTATGCACTGGTGCCTCTGACTGCCTGAGCTTGTAGGCTTGCTCTGTACAGCTGATTGAGCACAAGCCCATAGAGGAGAAATGTTGTGAGCTGCAGCATTCATGCTGTGCATAAACATTGGACAGCTCTGACACTGAGTCATATAAAGAAGTGTGACTTCCTTAAACACCTTAAAACTTAAGGGTTTAAGATGTTTCAGAGATGTCGTGTAGGATATTGTCCTGTTATCATCTTTATCCAGAGGAAGAGACCAGTGGGGCTGGAACAGTTGTGCTTCCCTACTAACATCATAAATACAATTCTTCTTCCTCTTTGAGACAGGCAATATAGGACAGAAAACTCCCAAGAATTGATCCCCAGTTGATTTTGAGTCTGTACATCCAGGATTCTTCACTTTCTGAAAACACATCGTATTTTAAAAATCATATTTTTAAAGGCTTTGTGAGCCTCTAGATTTGCCAGGCACAGGGAGGGTGGGTTAAGAAAATCAATACAGCATGATTTTGTTCTAGACAGCTGCCTTCTGGTTTAAAGAGTTGCCTTCAGAGCTCAGCAACCCTAAAAGAAGATGTTTCCTGCCTCAAGGAATTTATAGACTAAATTAGAAAGGTAGCACGATAATTGTCATGAATGAGAGTCATATGCATTTCCAGGTCAAGCATAAATGAAAAAATATCCCCAAAACAGCCTTCAAAATCCATCACATTAGAACTTGGCAGAAAAATAATTTCTTCATTCTTTGGTAATTTTAAAGTATATTATTTCTTGGTTTGAACATAAATAATTTGTTACATTTCAGCAACTCTATCATTTGAAAAAGGGGGTCAACTTAACTATTTTAATTAGCAAAAATGCATTTCAAGTTCTATTTTTTGCCAGTCATCTTTATTTTAACCTAATACAAAGCAAAGGAATTCAGTTATCCCAATAAAGTATTTTTTTAGTTTAATGAAATAGTATTTATCACTATTTTTCCTTTATTTATTTAAAAATATTAACATGTTCAAGTCTTTTGGTATTACTTAAACGTTTTGATATCAAATCTACATTTTTTTCTGAAGAAACTTTTATACACAAAACATGGGATTTATACACCATTACACTGCTGTTTTCTAATCCCCTCTCAAGAGCTGTCACTTATTCATCCTGTTTCCTACTCCGGTGCTTGCTGTTTTTTCTATATAGAACAAAAATATATTTCTAAGTTGGCATTGTTTTCAGTTACAATAAAAAGAACAATACAATAAGACAGAACAAAAATAAAGCCTTCACAAGGAAGCTTTCAAGTTGTAAATTTGCATGAGAGCATCTCATTTAAGCACACATAGAAAATCAACTTGTCCCTGCGAGCAGCAGGGAGTTTAAAGTTGCAGACTAAGACAGAATAGTTATACAAACAGACACAATTTGATTTTGAGACATTGGACTACAGTGTTATCTCAGCAGGTACCTACCCAGAGCGAGTTGGTGGCAGTGTAGATAGGCAGCGCATACTCTGAACACAGAGATACTCCGGTTTCACTTGGTACGTGTTGTCAGCGTGATCATTGAATAAAGGTATTTCACTGAAATGAAACTTGGAGTGTGCCTGCCTCACCTCTCTCTTCTTCAGAAACGTTCTAACACAGAGGCTCACATATTTCTTTGGAAGCTGGTGTGAGCGTTCATAGAGACATAACTGCCAAAAGGCTATGTTTCTTCCTTTCAAAATGGTGTGTATTTAACTCCGCTAAAACAGAGCTGGAGCAAAGAGGAAAGACAAAGTATGTTTTTTTTCCCCTGAGATACTTTAGGCTAATCTACCCAGTCAGTGACCCCCAAAGAGAGGGCTCTTATAAGGAGTATGGGACCTGTCAGACTTTCCTGTGAAATCCTCCTCCCCCTGCAACAAAAAATTAGCTCCTTGAACACAAAGAGACTTTAATAACAAATCAAAGCTAAACATTTCCACAGCAATGGAAAGCGTATCCTTTCTTGGCCTTCACTTGGCAACTGGAACAGACAAATCCATGGGCTTCACTCCTTCACCTACACAGAGCCTTTGGAAAAATTAACAGCAGGGGAGGCTTAAAAAACAGAGGATCCAAGTCCCTACAGGTGGTGGCCCTGTGCCTGAAAGCTTCTTTTAAATAAATGGTAGCCCAGTAAAATCAGAGAGTTCAAACACTTTCATGTGTGCTGAATTAATACACTGAAGGCTGGACATACAATTCATGACATCTGGGAAGTACAGTTGGAAGCCACTGCTCTATGGAAAGCTGGTAAAAGCAAGAAGAGTGGCCTGGTTTTAGTGCTTTAGGCAAGCTGAGTAAGGAAAGCAAGGCATTTGTAAAAGAATGCACCAGGTTTTTCCTTGTGCTTTTTCATGGGTCTTGAATCAGAAATCATGAGGGAAAAGGGCGACTCTGTCGTTAAATAAACAGTTTTCATGAAGGGTGTAGATTCAGAGCATCTTTCTTTCCATTCCTTCTCCATACAGATGACACGCTCACCTCTTCTCAGCCCATAAAATTACCCACTCTAGAGGAAGACATCCCTCTTTGTGTCCCCAGCCAGAGTTACAGGCACTGGCAGAAATGCAGCAGAGGATGGCTTGCCTAGAACAGTATCCTCCTATGTGTATCAATTGAAATGGCAAGGTGTCCTCTGCTTACGGAGCCACCTCATCACAGAACCAGGGAGGAATGAGATCCTCCTTTACACAGACAGCTCCACTGAGCCACCAGGCAGAGGGATGAAAAGGGAACAAAGAAAAGCACTTCCCACTCTCTATCCCATGCATTTCATTAGTGTGAAAGACACTCTCTTGTCTACCCTGTCATCTGGGGAGAAGCTTGACTAATAAAATCAGACAATTAAGTATTCTTCATCACCACTGGCTGCACCATTTTTTACCTCTTTCATTGTTCTTTTCCCCACCACCCCCACTGCTTTACCAGTATCTTGAATCTGGAATAAGCCAAAAGCCTTTCATCTTATCAGGTGTGGTTTATTGCCCCCTGGTTACACAGTAATTTTGGTCTCCACTCCTTGGAGAGGTCATATGATGGGATATCAGCACAAGAATTGTCAGTTCATTGGACAAATAAGGCAGGGCCTGCCAATACAATTATAAGAGCCTGATAAGGAAGACACAGAGAAGAATCAGCAGGAGAAGGAGACACAACCATAGCAATTTAAAAGGTGAGGGGCAATCCCAGAAGAAGGCAAGAAATGCCAGTGGGGGCAGGGAAAGGGAAGGAACAGGAGTGCATTTAACCACACATTCTCCCCACAATAAGAATTAACAAGACAGAAAAGGCTCAGGAAAGGAATCACTGGCATCCATTCTCATTATCCAGGAAATCTTCTCCCCTTCGGTGGATGCCAGCCTGGGAGACACAAGCAACTGTTGGGATAATTACCAAGCTAGCTTCCCTCATAGCTCAGAAGGGGAAAAAAAAATGTTTTATCTTTAGGATTATAGGTGGGGGGCAGAGGGCACTAATTCCTATTCCTAAGCATGTTGCAGAGGCCATCACTTTTTCTCTTGTGACTGATAAGATTGGATGATGTTGAAAAGCACCTGTTTGGAAAGTTCAAAGGGTTTCCAAAATTGTAGAAAAGAGAATCTGAACTAAAGCTGATGGGTGGGGGACATAGCTGAAGGCTAACCTGGGAACTGCAAGCGAGGGAGGTTTCTCTCTTGTATGCAAGAGAAGTTCACAAGGTTTCTCTCTTACTAGTAAAACACTCAAGGGACAAGTATTCATCCTGCTGGTTAACTCTGTAATAGTACAAATCCAATGGGTTTGCCAAAGATTTCAGCCTGAAAGCAGAAAAGGAGGATAACTGCCCCACCAACAGGATTTACCAACAAGAAGTAATCCTTCCCAGAGCATTTTCCACCTGGGTCTGTGAGGAGCACACATCTTCCCAGGAGGTTCGGAGCTCTGTAATCTGCACTGGCTGGGGGATGCAGGGCAGTGGGTAGGATGGGCAAGACTTTACACCCCCACTTGTAATGCTGCCTTCCCCAGACACAGGAGCGTATGTCTTGGTCCCAAGCTGATCAGCAGTGAGGAGCAGGCGCATGTGCTCACTCTGAGTGGCCTTTGTTTTTCCTCCGAGCGCTGCTGCAGGTCGGCTGGGCACGGGTGAAGAGAGACAGGCACATGCGTCTTGGTGCACACCGAGAGCCAGGAGAGCAGGAGAACACTCTCTGCCCAGTAGCCACTTTGGCAAGAAGATGACAGACCCCCAGGGGTGTGCTGGCCAGAGGAAGCCCAGCCTGTCCTTTTCCATAGAGGAGATCTTAAAGAAACCTTCTGCCAGCACTGCCCTAAGTAGGGAAACCAGGAACAGAAGTAGCTACGCAGAGAGACCACCATCCCTAAAAGCAGTGTCACCACTGGCCTTTGGTAAGTACCAATTATACCACTTAATGAAAATGCTCCTTTCTTTTTAACCCCTAGAGCTATCACATTTGATGCAGGGGGGCAGAACTAGATGATCTTAAGGTCCTTTCCAACCCAAACCATTCTGTGATTCTATGATTATGTAGAATTTTTATTCTTTAGCTTTTGTAGGAATCTAGGATTTCCTGAATCAGGTACAAATCATTAATTGTATATACAGAAATGATCCTTAAAAAAAATTATTTGCTTTCAACTTTGCAGTAGACTGGGCTCTGTTCCCAGGCTTTGGTGGGATTTTATACATTATGAAGTCCCAGTGTCGTTGGAGAGGTGGGTATGCAACCTGAACAGTTACTGCAAGTAGCTCTCTTCAGTAACAGTGAGAATTGTTTATAGTAAACAAATACAACACCGTCCCAGTGTCTTTCCCTTTAGAAAACAATATTCTTGTTATTAAAATAAAAAAATCCCCTGCCATAAGGAAGGACAGCCATTCAAATTCAGGAAGTTACCTAAAATTGCTGAAACATACTGAAGTTGTTGCAGTTTCACTTAAATCAAGAGCTGACTGTTGTCTGGAATTACAGCCAAATCTCACATTAGTACCATTCTCTGATAAATTTGACTACTCATCCTCAAGCAGGAGAATTGATCTGCAAAGGTAATGCTAGCTAAGGAGTGTTAGAACTCAATTGCTGGAACAAGAAAAGAGAAAGCATTTGTGTTTAATCATTTCTCCTTATCATCAGGGACATTAGGTTTTTTCATAAACTAAAGAAAGCCAGCTAGTAGAAAACTAGCATGACTTCAATCTTACCAAACCAGCAGTGCATTAGCCTTTTTAACTTCAGTTTCCTCAGCTTAGTTACTTTGGCCTTGAGTGAACTTTTACCCCCCAGAAATTCTCTCTTTTATTTTCCTTAAACAAAGACCAATGGCCAGAATTTTCAGGATTTAGTATTCCTTCTTTTTTAATTTACATCATCCATGAAATGGAGATGTTTTAAGCATACAAACACATCCACTTAACTTGAAAATGACCTGTAGTTTTGACAGAAAAGTTTCACTCACCTCTCGCTCAACTGCTTTTAACAAAGCTTAAGGCTCCACTTCAATTTTTGTAACACACAGACGTTCTTTCATGGGTTCAGGTCCCCATTTCCCAGGACACTGGATGAATCACCCAGCAGTAAGGGAGAGACTTTCTCCAAACCCTGGCAGTCCAAGTAATCATTGTTTATTTGCATAGCTTCAGCTCTTTTTATGTCCGTAAGTGGATACTGACCTGGACTAGAAAGAAAACAAGACCTAAATTGGGAAGGAAACTACAATGAAGTGAACACCTCACTTACTATTGTAATGTTAGTCACCAGTCCCACTAACGCTGCCTCTCAGCCATGCTTTGCACAAGATTTGCCCTTTGTCGCTCAGCTCTGACACAGGGTAATTTCATTCACTCTGCACAGAACTTGTTTCCTAACCATGGGGCAGAGACAAGCCCACAAGACACCTTACAGATCTGGGAGCCCCAAGCATGGGGCTGAGTACGCAACCGCTGTCTTTGCGCCAGTACCCGCGCCTTTCCACAGAAACCTATGTGTGGGGAAGAAGGACAGCATGCTGCTGGGTTTTCCCAGAACATAGGATAACTGACATTGGGTGGGAGTTATTGAGGTCATGTGGAAGTCCAGCCTGCTGCGCAAAGAAAGGACAGCTTTGAAGACAGACAAGGTTGTCTATCTTTGAAGCTGCCACAGTGAGAGTTGCTTGGCTGTTTCACTACTGGTGCTGTTGGAGGACTGCAGCATTTAGAGGCCTCCTAAGGCTGCCAGTGCAGATTGGACTGGAACAACAGCAGGCCCAGGTCATGTTTTAAATATGGCCCTGAAACAAGTAAGAGCTTGGTATTTTGTAGGAGTGGACAACATATTGTGCTTGCTGGTGATTCATCCAGTGTCCTGGATATTATGCTTGCTGGAGCAAGCATAATAGAGCTTGAGTGCCGAAGGAGCCCAGGTGCTACATTGTGAAGGGGTAGAAATGCTGGTGTGGGCTCTATGGGGGGAGATTTTGTGAACTCAAAGTCCTTTCCAGAGGGCAGTTCCTGTGCCACTGGATCCAAAGTGAGACAGATAACACCACTGAAAATGGAGTCAGCGCTGTTCATAACATGGACCATAGAACTGCATTTTAACAGCATGAAACTCTTCTCTGAGAACAGAGAAGCGTGTCAGAGACAGGACCTTTTTATATTAAGTCTGTTTTGTGATCAATATGTTGAAGCCCTATTTTGTTGTATGCTTCAGCTAAGCGTGCTGCTCCAAGTGCAAGGTCTGACAAATCTGTATGCAGGACATGATGGGTTCCTAGGACTGCATTACTGCACTGCCAGCACTGTCTCATCCCAAATTGCTCCACCTGAGAGTACAGTCAGTTTTTCACCTTGAAAGCAACGCAGGCAGAAAAGCCAGGCCTCGTCACTGACTTCGCTTCATCACCTAGCCAAGTGAGAGATTGTAGCTGTACCAAGGGAGAATAGTAACTCTTTTCTCCCCTGATAGAAAGCCAGGTTGGATTAATACACTTAAGGCAATGTGAAATGTTAACTTATGAAAATAGTAGATTCATTTAGCTGTCACTGGAGCTAAGCAAACAGGAAAGCTGTAGAGATATTCCAAACTGTTGTTGTACATTGCTTTTGCTATTGACCAAGAGTGTTTAAAAAAAAAAAAAATCCTGAAAATGAATCTTTTTCACTGTTGGTTTCTCACTAACACCAAATTGATACTTAGGCTTATTACCCTTTGTTTTCCCAGCAGAACTGCCGATTTTTGCAGATAAGGTTTATTTATTTCAGAAGTGCAATACCCTATGCTGTACATCTTGGGATAATTGCTGTATTTCATCAGTCATTCAACTTCATGCCATATAACTGCCATTAAACAAGTTGTGTAAATAGTCAGCTATATGTAATTTGCCTCAGTGCTGGCCAAGGTCAGGGCACTGAAATGCGCAAGGGAACTTGTTGGAAATTCCAGGAGGGGACACACATCCAGCTCCTTTCCCAGAACAATTCAACACTGTTCAGCAAAGAAGGAAGTATTACAGGTCAGACCTGAGTTATACCTTACTATGGATTTTAGGAACATTTCCCATATCCCATATGGTATGTATCTGAACCAAGCCACGATCCGTATGAGAGCGAGCTGGCACCACACACATACTCATGGCTACCAAAAGGTAAATACCAGGGCCAGAAATTATCATCCACCCCATCTGCTAATCTAGGCAGCCTAGGTACTGAGATCACACTTGTCTAAATATAGAATTAAGAGCTGAGGAGATGGGTAATACCAGAGAACCAGAAGATGCAGAATGTCAGAAATTAGGGACACAGACAAAGTTTGCCCTGGAGTAAGTTCCCAAGAAAACCTGGGAGTGCTAGATCAGATGGCTTCTAGAGGTTGCTCCTAACCTAAATAATTCTGTGATTCTTTAACAAAAAGGATGTTGTGATTTACAGTTGCAGCCTCTTATGGAAAGCTGGGGCAGGACTTGATGATGTATGAGAAGATCTCTGGGCCTGACTTTGAAGTTTGCAGGTTTTGCTGAGTGTAATTCCTGTGGCACTTGGAATAAGGACTGTGCAGAGTTCCCAGGAGTGTGTGACTTTCCAGTTTTAGTGAGCTTACTGCATACAAACACAACTACTAGGTGGCCTGAAACTGCATCTGTTGATCTGACATCTACTGAAAGACTCTTACTAAGTTAAAAAAGGAACAGTGAACAAGAAGACATTTTAGTATTCAGTCTGCGCTTTCCATCTCTTCTTTTAGTCACGATGCCTCAAAAGGGTAACCATGGCCTTTGCAAGTGACACAAATAAGCATCCGCCAAGTGCTGCTCTCCTCCCTAGTGCCAAATCTTTCATTTTAAACAAAAAAGACTAGAAGGCTTATTTCAGAAGAAATCCTTCTTCTGAAATCCCTGGGAACTTGATTTCAATGTGCTTGAAACTACATCTGAAATAATTGTTCATTACTCCACCACCACTGAAGTTCCACCAGCAGGAGGTTCTTTATCAAATCAAGGAGAGTTTGGGATGAGTACGTTACACCTGGAAAATTAATAGTAAAAGTAGTAACAGATAGAGCAGTTTTGTCATTCTGCCTGTTATGCCCCATTATGTTAAGGACATGCAAATTAATAGGAATACAACTGTTGCTTCACACACAAATATCAATATGGTGATTGTTTACTTCACCCTTAGCAACACTCCACCCAGCTTTATTGCAAAAGAGGAAACAAGCTGAAGGAATAAAACTGAACAGATACCACCTGGCCAATATCACCAGTTCATCCCACCATTTACAAGGCAAAACAATCCACCTTAAAAAAAAGGCAAAGAAGCAAGAGAAAAACAGCACAATAAAAAGATGCTTCCATATCTCAGTGACAGGCTTTTCTGTTCACAGCTGTAGTAAGATCTTAAAGTCATAAGCCCTATGCCTACAACAAGTCTTTCTCTCCAGTAATTACACAGAAAGGCTTAGATGGAACTTAGGCCATCTGAAATAACCTCCCACTTCCAAAAGGAAATCTTACTATCTTGCAAGATATTTCCTATCCTTTCCTATGCAATTGAAATTTAAGCTAAAAAGACCATTTTGAGCCACAAGTCAAAGTAATTTCTGTGCATGACAGTATAAAGTGTCTCATGTTGTGCCAGGCTGAAATGTCGTAGCCATCCCTGAAAAGAAAAGAAAAAAAATAGAAAAAGAAAAGGCAAGAAAAAAGAGAGAAGAGAGAAGAAGAGAGAAGAGAGAAGAGAGAAGAGAGAAGAGAGAAGAGAGAAGAGAGAAGAGAAGAGAGAGAAGAAAGAAGAGAAGAGAAGAGAAGAGAAGAGAAGAGAAGAGAAGAGAAGAGAAGAGAAGAGAAGAGAAGAGAAGAGAAGAGAAGAGAAGAGAAGAGAAGAGAAAAGAGAAGAGAAGAGAAGAGAAGAGAAGAGAAGAGAAGAGAAAAGGGAAAGGGGAAAGAAGAGAAAAGGGAAAGGGGAAAGAAAAGAAAAGGGAAAGGGGAAAGAAAAGAAAAGAAAAGAAAAAAAAAAAAAAAAAAAGAAAAGAAAAAAAAAAAAAAAAAAAAAAAAAAAAAAAAAAAAAAAAAAAAAAAAAAAAAAAAAAAAAAAAAAAAAAAAAAAAAAAAAAAAAAAAAAAAAAAAAAAAAAAAAAAAAAAAAAAAAAAAAAAAAAAAAAAAAAAAAAAAAGAAAGAAAGGAAAAAAAAAAGGAAAGAAAGAAAAGAAAAGAAAAGAAAAGAAAAGAAAAGAAAAGAAAAGAAAAGAAAAGAAAAGAAAAGAAAAGAAAAGAAAAGAAAAGAAAAGAAAAGAAAAGAAAAGAAAAGAAAAGAAAAGAAAAGAAAAGAAAAGAAAAGAAAAGAAAAGAAAAGAAAAGAAAAGAAAAGAAAAGAAAAGAAAAGAAAATCAATTGGAGGAAATTTCACCCCATGCCAATTTGTAGGTATTTTCATAGCTCTCTGCTGGAGTGACATGAATAGACACTAAGAAATACTGGCTGGCCTAAAGAAATATCACTTTAGACAGTCTTCTTGCTTGTTCAGGACAACAGGTACCAGAGAAGGTTGCAATGCAAACAGAACTAGACTTTAGGGCTCCTAAGTCTCAGATATGTGTTTTAAGCTCAATATCATCTACCTTTAATCTTATCCTCCAGAAAACTTCTTGATCTTTTCTGACTCTCTTTAGGGTTCATAGCATTCTAATTTACGCTTCTATCTCAAACAACCGATCCTCCCACTCCTTTTCACCAGTTCACAGCGACATTGGTATTTTCCCATCTGCCGAGGACAGTCTTCCATTCCCTCCCTGTTTTCTCCTCTTCAGTCTATAATTATTCTATCCATGCACACACAAAAGTTGTGCTCATCACTGGAGTATGTAAACATCTCAGAAAAACAATCAGAGGGAGGAAAGTTGTGTATGAAGGATGAAGATGCATGAAAAGTCTTCTATAACTTAGAAAATGGCAGTGTCATTCTCAGAAAGCTTTAATCACTGCTCGTAAAAGCATCTTGCTCAGGTACTGTTACATTCTTCATTACTGTAGGATATAAGCACCACTGATTCTGTAGCATACCCATTTTCTCAGCATCACATCTAGCAAAGGAGTGCATCTAGTCCTCGATTTAGGGATGGGGGATTGAGATATAAAAAACCTATGCCAACACTAATTTTCTCTGAGTTATTGAATAAATCATTTAATACCAGCCACGAGCCAGTGACCACTGCCAGGTCTATCCTTCTCCTTCATTCCACAAATATTGTTCAAAACCTCACCTGTTTTCTTACCAGAAAACTCAAACCTAGTTGATCCAAAAGGAATTAAATTAATCTCATTTTGCACAATACTCCTCAAACACAGAGGTGGACCTCATACCAGGTTTTTAAGGTTCGCAGGAAATTGTGTTTGGAAGTTTACCCAAAGATTGGTGATAATTTGAAAAGATAACATTTGAACAGTCATCCTTTATTGACATGAGGCTTTGGCTAATTTCCAGTGCTCTTGTAACTGCATTTTCTTCATGTCACTGTCAGCTCTCTGTAAAATTCCTCATGTGGGCTCTCACCGAGGGCAAAAAGGGGCACTTTGTCTCTGGATGTTATAATTATCATTGTTCCAAGGCTGATCACAAATAGAACTGTTATTTGTTCAGAAAATAAAGTTCTTGACAAGTCTAAAAAGTTAGATGCTTTGCCAATGCACCAGCAGTAAAATATGTATTAAAATAATGGAGTTTCTTCCAGTATAAACTGTTGGGGTTCATGCATGCTGTTATTTAGATATAAGAGGGGAACAGCCACAGGTGCTGCAAACCCCAGAACCTAGGTATGGGTAACTGCTCGATAAAAAGACGCTTGCAGTCCATTAATGCATTAAGATTTTAAAGTTCTTTGGTGGTAACAGCAGCCAAACCTGTGCTGCCACATTCACTTCAGTGTTATGTTAAACATGGAACCTAATGGGTCCATTATGGTTATGAGTTGCCTCTTCCTCTGCCTGTCCCAGCAAAGAAATCCAGGCATGGAGGAAAACTAGATCAAATTCTAGGTTTGACATTAAAACAGCACACACATGGTTATCTTGTCTCTGAAGAGTCAAGCCTTGATTGCATCTACCAAGGGCAGCACATAAAGCACTAGGAACCAGGGATTATGGTGAGGCTGTAGTGTAGAAGAAAGGAGGTAAAAGAGTGGGAGTATTTGGTCTAGCATCCTCTCTTGCGATACTAAGAGCCACCAACAGACCCAGCCTGAGCAATGCAGCTTCCCAGCATATTATACTTCAGTGTATGTCCTTCCGAGCTCCACTTACTCTTAAAGAAGAGTAAGCACTCACTACATCTACAAGGGCAGAAAACTAATTTGAAAGATATTTGCAGTACCCCTGTACACACAGAGCTGATAGTGCTTGTAATGAGGCAGAAGAAAGATTATGGCTTCTGTGACCAATTTCATCACCTAGCACATGTCACCACTGACTACTACTGCGGTTACCTTCAGCTCCGACAGTCACTGTTTGTAGTGCCCATGCTCAAATCTAACATAACCATATGGCTGCACTTCCTGAAAATGGGCCAATATGCACTTCTCTTATGTTTGTCCTGTCAACAAGAGCATGCAGGGGATTTCATGAAGATGAGTTAGCTGTCAGTACCTTCCTAGATATCACCAGTGTCACCTATCACAAAGGCAGATGGATACTGTTGACGTCATGGGCAAAGGCTGCTTCTAGAATTATCCAATGCCAAAATCTGAGAGGCAGGCAGCCCAGATGTAGAAGAAAGGACGAATGGACCTAAATCAGGGAAGACAATGACCTTTAGCTTATTCTGGCTCATTTTCCTGTAGGGTAGATGTACCTACAGGGACATTTAAGAAACGAACAATTTTTAAAAGCATTTGACATACAGCAAATTCCATAGTGATCTTGCTGACAGATTTTCAGAGCACTCCATATCTACTGCACTTCCTAGTTGTTAGAAAAGGCAGCCACTGATTTGGGTACTGACAAGGAAGCTCAGCTTTCTTGACACTGGGTGTGCCTCCTTATTTCAACAATCCCTTCTTGAAAATATTCCACAAGGACCATTGAAAGTTTTAAGGTGGAAAGAAGCAGAGAACAGGCTGGATTTTAGGGTCAAATTCACCAGGATCATACCTCCGCAACATGGGTTCATCTTGGCATTGATGCACAGCACAGAAGGATCAAGGCCATTTTAAATATTATCAGGTTTGAATGCTAAAATATTTAGCCCACATCCATGCTTCTATTTTTTCACACAAACTGGAAGATGCACTGAACAATGGCTGGTTTATTCAAAGCTATTTTGTGCTATGTCCTTCACAGATTCCAGCAGCAGGAGTCAGTTAGGCTGTGACTTATATTCAGCCAAAATGCTTCTCCCTGCCATGTGTACTACACCCATAGCCAGGGCAAAGAACATGCAGGCAGCTTATTGCAGAAGACCTACTGACAGCCCAGCTTCCCTCCTGGGCGAGGATGCACGACATCAACACCTGAAAGGCAAAAGAAAACACGAGGAAGAGGAAGATCAGATATGTGATTTTCCAGTGGGCCATCCACTTCATGGTGAGTGCTTCTACATCCAGACTTTCTCCCACAGTACCCAAAACCATAGCTACTATCTTACAGTGATGTACATGGCAATACCTAGTAACAGATGTCACAAATATGGCTGAGTCACAGGGGTGATTCTTCAGTGTTGCCACCGAAAACATGGAGACTCACCCTTTGAGCTAAAGATCTAAACCTGGCCTGCCAACCCTACCAATTTTAGTGATAGGGACTGCTTGGGGTGTTTATTACCCTTCTAGTTGGGGTGGCAATCTACAGTTACCGTGTTCAGCAGCATCTCTTCCCGGGTTGTGCAACGCCTATTTCCTGGCAAATGGGCATTGCACAACGTGGGGAACAAGGCTACTGAACATGACAAATCAGCTCCATGTGTTCCATACACCTTGGACCCACTGCACAGACAATGAGGTCATCAGCATGCACACAGGCAAACTGTCCATGTGCAGTAGGTCTGGCATGCAGGATGGGCCAGGCAGAGTCAAGCCTGGCTACGTTGGCAGGTCTGGTAATCTCTTTAGTTGTGAGACCTGGTGAACAGCAGTATGTCTCTTAACCAAAGAAAAGGGTAATACAAATATATTTTGCCAATATGTTGCACAGAGGCTTTAAACTAAGTAGGATGCATGGTACCTGAACAAGACAAGTTCCTAACAGACAGACTGAAGTTTATTTGGAGCTTGTGGCAAAAAAGTGCTTTAAGTTCTTTGGGTTTTAGGAAAGATTAATACAGATTATCATACTAACTGAGAAAACAACTCAGTAGCAGCAATAAGGTGTTTCCTGCATAGTTTGTTATTATTCACTCCTTTCTGAAAGAAAAAAAAAAAAAAAGGCAATTCCAATTAAGGCCATGGAAGACTCCTAATGGAGCTCATGTGACCACAGATGCAGTTGTTCAGCTGGCTTCACTGAGATTCACACATCTTCCTCAGCCCATACTCTGCAAGTTGCCAAAGGAAACATTTCTCTCTGTGAAATACATTTGAAAGAAAAGACTTGTTCCTGCTGCTGCTGCTATGGTATACACGAGTCTTGTGATGAGCTGCTGTCACCTCCTTCTCCTGCATGAGACAGCATCTGTCTTGACACAGACAGAAGCCTTGTAAGATAACTGGATATTTTAGCCTATCTCTGTCCTGTAAGCTGCATGCAGCTGATGGCAGCAGGGCAAAATCAAGTTCCTCACAGAAGAGCTAGGGCTGTAGGTACCTGGTATTTGGAGTTGCGCATGACGGCTAGAAAGGAATATATTTCATGCAGGAGGGAGTCCCCAGCCACAGTAATCACACCGGAGCTGGTTGGTGGCTTTCCCAGGGTGATAGAGGAGGGAGGCAACTATCCCAACTCAGCACTTAGCCTCATTGACCAGCACAGTGGTTGGTACCAGCCTCATCAGCAAAGCAGGCTGGGGAGGGTGTAATTATCTGCACAAAGCCAAGCCAATCTGAGCAGGCCCTTTCAATGGAAACATATTTTAAAGGCATTTGAAACAAAATCCCTCTGTTCCCTGGTGGCAGTGGGGTTTTGAAACCAAGCAGAGGTTTAATGATCTGCCATTTTCTAGGCTAATGGTTCCTGCAGTTGCTGAGCCTTTGATGGAAACTGGCTCAAGGAGGAGGGGAAGATCCTGAAGCACTGGATTGGCATTTTCCCTGCAGTGCACAGTGATGTTTCATATACCGTTCATGCACTGTGTCATTCTTAGCAGAGAGCTGGAGGCCTGGGCTTAAAATCCTTTCCAGCATCATAAGCTTCAGCCTCCTTTCTCTACTTTACATTAGGGGAGAAGAGCTGGCGGCTCTTTTTCTCCTGCCTCTGGCTGTGGCATGAGTCATCTTTGCCAGCCAAGGTCAGTAGCATTTCCTGCAGGAGAGGTAGACTGCACCACCCTTGAAAACAGCCTCTAATCCTTACATTTTGTGCTGATAGCAAATTAACTTCCCTTTCAATGCCTATCAACTCTGTGGTGCTTCAGACACACTCTTGGCATGGTAACTATAGTCTGATTATCGGTCACCTAACAAGGCACAAGGGCAGTGCCAAATGCCCATAGCATGTGCCATGGAGGTGTCCCTAGGACTTCCCTCACATCTGCACTGAGGATGCCAACAAGTGGTCAGGGCAATGGCACTAACCCTATGCACCAGGAGAACTTTCTGATGTGAAAGACACCAGAAGTCCTTGGCTGGACATTCCTTTTCCTCTTCCTCACAGCCCACCTCTATCTCTATAAAATACCTGCATAATTTGTGAGGAAGGGCAGTAGGCTCTGGCTAAGAACACACATCTGTACAGTGTCAGGGAGCAGAAGAAATCAAGAGGGCTATGCAATCACCTTGGTGGCAGGAGAACTGGGGTTTGTCTGGTGCTTTTTTGGATAGGAAGAGAAAGATGGGGAGAAGGCTGTGACATTATGCCCTTCATGGGCAGGTAGTCTGAGATAGCAACAGCACCCCAGCTGTGTCATGACTGTGAATTTGGAGGGTATTTCCAGCAAACTCTGTAACTCTGTAGTGTTCCTAAAAATTTGTTTCTCCCAAAAAATGCCTTCTGTGGCAAAGTGGCTTAGAAATGCAGTGTCTTCTAAACTTAACAGATTTATGCCCTTATCACAAACCATTTACAGGAAGCAATGCCTCTTGCACTTTGAACTTAGAGGCTGCATTGTAAGCAAAAGAAAGATAAAAGCCCTCACATGCAGGAGACATGCTGGCAGTGACATTTAGTTTTGCTAAGCTCCTATTTGAATTTGGAAGCCTTTGCTCTGAATGTTGGGTGCTCTCGCCTGTAGTCTTCTGCATGAAAAACTCAGCAGAACCTGTTCAGAAAAACTCATTCCTGAGAGCAGTGCTTATAAAATCTGGTTTAGGAGACCACTCTGAGAGAGGCCTTTACTTTGGAGCTGGGTACAGACTGTGCTTGGGCCAGCTCCCTGTGAAATGATTAATTGCTGCTGGTTTGCTGTGTACAACCATCATTGCTAGGGTCCTCAAAACTTAAGAACAAGGAGGGCAAGCTCTTGGGAAGGTCAGTCAGCATCCCAACAACACGCCCCAAGGTGTGAGCTCCCACTTTCCATTTAATTCCTTCTCTCTGCCCTACATGACACCCCTGAAACCTGACCAGCTCACGACAGCCAAGCACTGGAACCTGAGAGGATTACCTGCCCACATGCCTGTGTGAATTGCTGGAGACTGCCACATACAAAATCCCAGCCTACTTCACATCCTTATGGGCAATTCTTTTGCAATGTGTTCTACACATGCTGGGTCTGGTTGCATACATCCAAGCGTGTGTGCTCTAACTACATCCAAACGAGTGTGCTCAGCACTGCACATAGGCAATAGATGCAGTCCTTTACTCCAGAGAGGGAGCAGTCCATACTTCAGAGAAGCCAGACAGATAGCAACATCACCTTAAGACACTGGCAGATGCCCAGTCTTGTTAGATTTCTTCTCTGAGAAATAATAGGTAGAACAGGCCTCAGTAAATGGAGCTGACTCCTAATTCCAGCAGAAATTGAAGGTTTCAGGCCATTGGAAAAACTGGAATGTGTTATTTCCTTCAGCTCATGTCTTCTTTATTCACTGTAGAGGAGGATGCCATAATGAGTCAATGTCACCCAAATATTTCCATAGCAGATATCCTCTGCACATTGCTGACTGGAAGCCCAGGGATCTTTTTATTAATTTTTATTAATCAAATTATTTTATTATTATGATAGTATCTTTGATCCCAAAGCATACTGACAAATTCTTGTGGCAATAAATGCAATAGGAAATTTAGAGATGATCTCAGTTCTGGAGAACTTCCAGTGTAATTCATGTCCCCTCTGTAATTGATGTCAGTTGCATGCATCTTTACCTTAGTGTTAATGTTCTCTCTAACTCCATAAATTAATTTGTACTGTTCACTTGTGGACAATATGGTTAAATCCATGTACCCGTGTGAAACACCATGGTTTATCTCTTGCAGAACAGTCTTTTCCCCAATATGCTGGCTTATCTTAATGCCTTTATAAAGCAGCCAAGAGACTATGAAGCATTGTGTAATCACAATCCCAGATAAATATCAGCTGTCCAGAATATGCCAAAGGGACTGCAAGAAAGGGCATAAGCATCCCATTATCCTGCAGAACAAAAGGAAGCAATTCTAAATGAAAAGGAAAAGCAGGAGGAAAAAATAAATGCCTATATATATAATTTGGCTACCATTAGCTGTCTTACCAGTCTTCTGTTTATCAGCATGAATAGACCCTGCACCCATGTGTCTCTGAAGTGCAGTATTCCTATATACATTTAGAAATGCAGCAGACCATTGACCTTGTTTTGGTGCGTTTACCTGAGGCATTGTTGAAGGCTGGTTCTTTGCTTTTCTCCCTCTTTGAAGACTGACTGTTTACAATCACACCTGAATCCTTTACTCCCACCCTTCAGATTCTGTTCACATAGAAGTCTCACTGATACAAGTGAGCACAGAAGAAAGCAAAGCTGTCAGCAGTTGGAGGACTATAATAAATACTGCTTGTATTGTTTCTTTGTGAGTTTGTGGTTTGGGGTTGTTTTGTATTTGTTTTTGTTTACTTAGAGCAAATGTTAGCATTCAATGCTTTCCTCTATCAGCCTCTGCTGTCCTGGGAACTCTGGGTCTGAAGGGTGTATTACACAGGACCCAGAGATTAATTTGTTCCTGCTAGTCAAATCTGTGTAATGTGACCATTTGTAAAGCTGATTGCACACCTCGATAAGCTTATTTCAAAGGTCTTATGAGTACTTATTTAGCTTCTCCTAAATTAGTATCATGGAATCATAGAATGGTTTGCATTGGAAGGGACCTTAAAGCTCATTCACTTCCAACCCCCTGCGACACCTTCTAGTGGAAGGCATGGACACCTTTCCACTAGACCAGGTTGCTTTGAGCCCCCTTCAACCTGTCCTTGAACACTGCCAGGGGTGCGGCAGCCACAGATTCTCTGGACAACCTGTGCCAGTGCC